GTGTCTAATCTTTTTCATCTCAAAAGTGATTGCTTTAAGGATGCCCTACACTGGTGCCTCATTGACATAACAGAGACACCCTACTCCCAGATGGGATTATATCCACATGTATAGGAGTAGGATTTACAACACATGTTTTTTGGGGACATAATTCAATCTGTACCAGAGGGCTTGACCTGTTGTAACTGGCTCCATTCTCTCCACAACCCTAGGAGGTAGTTGTGTTGTTGTTGTTAGGTGCTATCGAGTTGTCTCCAACTCATAGTGACCGCATGCACAACAGAATGAAACACTGCCCGGTCCTGTGCCAGCTCCACAATCCTTGCTAGACCTGAGCCCATCACTGCAGCCGTTGGGTCAATCCATCTCTTGAGGGCCTTCCTCTTTTTCCCTGACCCTCCACTTTACCAAGCAAGATATCCTTCTCCAGGGAATGGTCCCTTCTGACAGCATGACCAAAGTAGGTGAGACCAAGTCTGGCCATTCTCACTTCCAAGGAGCCTTCCAGCTGCACTTCTTCCAGGACAGGTTTGTTAGTTCTTTTAGCAGTCCATGGTACTTTCAGCATTCTTCGCCAGCACCACAACTCAAAAACATCAACTCTTCTTCAGTCTTCCTTATTCATTATCCAGCTCTCACATGCATACGAGGCAATTGAAAATACCATGGCTTGGGTTAGGCACACCTTAGTCTTCAAAGAGACATCTTTGCTCTTCTGCACTTTAAAGAGGTCTCTTGCAGCAGACTTGCCCAGTGCAACACATCATCTGATTTGACTGCTGCTTCCATGAGTGTTGATTGTGGATCCACGTAATAAGAAATCTTTGACAACTTTAATTTTTTCTCCATTTATCGTGATGCTGCTTATTGGGCCAGTTGTGAGGATTTTCGTTTTCTAGGAGGTTGTTGTTGTTGTTGTTATGTGTCGTGGAGTCGGATCCAACTCATAGCGACCCCTCCTTGGGTTTCCGAGGCGGTATCATTACGGAAGTAGATTGCCTAACCTTCCTTCCAAGGAGAGGCTGGTGGATTTGAACCACCAGCTCTAGAGACTATTTTAACCCCTATTTACAGGTGGGTAAACTGAGGCACAGCTAGAGTGGGTAAAAAACAGACAGGAACCAAACTGGCAAAAACAGAAAATGGTTGCAAACTGTGATCAATAATCCGGCACTGAGATGAAGACAAACATTCAAAAGCTTTTGTAGAAAGAGATGGCAATGTGCTTCCCATGTGTGCAGAGGGCTGTGTCACAGAGCCCTCGAGGCTGAGACCTGTCGTCGGAGGCGTCTCGGGGTGGGTGGGAATCGTCCACCTTTGAGCCCACAGTCGAGTGCTTAGCTCTTCGCGCCACCCAGCCACCTTCTAGAATGTTCAGCACACTAGCTAGGTTCTAAATTACATGTCAGGTTCTAAAGCTCCTTATTTACAAAAACCCCTGTTTGGCAAATTATTTAAACATTAATGGAAAGAATGAGTTTAGTAGGATGCCCAGGGAGGATCTCTCTGGAGACTTGAAAGGTGAAGACGAGCCCATCTTTGGAAGAACAGGAGGAAGAGCATTCCAAGGAGAGGGAACAGCCTGTGCAAAGGCCCTGAGGCTGCCCCGTGCCTGATGTTCTCACAGAATAGGAAGGAGGCAGGTGTGGGGTAAGCCAGGAAGAGAGTGAGAGGAGGTGGGGGAGGGGAGGGAACGGGGGCGGTTGTGCAGGGCCTTGTGGGTGGTGGGGAGGAAGGCGGTCTTTCACCCGGAGTAAGGTGTTGTCTATCTCCCCACACTGGGCTGTGAACTCCACAATGTTTTGTTGTGTGCATTTTGTTTCCTCTGTGTCCTCAGCACGTAGAATAGTTCGGCACACAGCTGTTGCTGTGAGCCACTCTTGAGTTGGTCCCGACTCATGGTGACCATGTGGATAACAGAACGAAACGTGACCTGGCCTTGTGCTTTTGGTTATGGATCGGACCATGGAGATCTGTAGGGTTTCCATGGACTAATTTTTGAAACGTGACCTGGCCTTGTGCTTTTGGTTATGGATCGGACCATGGAGATCTGTAGGGTTTCCATGGACTAATTTTTGAAACGTGACCTGGCCTTGTGCTTTTGGTTATGGATCGGACCATGGAGATCTGTAGGGTTTCCATGGACTAATTTTTGAGAGTTGAACAGTGGGCCTTCTTCCTGGTCCAGCCTTCCCTGGAAGCTCTGCTGAGACCTGTTCAACATCACAATGACACGCCAGGCTCCGCTGACAGCAGGTGGTATCTTTACAGGAGGTGCATTGGCTGTGACTTGAACCCAGATCTCCTGCACCAGAGGCAAAAACTGTGCCACTGAACTACCAATGCCACTGGCACACACACGGGGCTCCAGACGCATTTGGTGCTGAATGGACAGGCTTACTGGGAGCAAGTGTGTTACCCCATGTGTTTTCCTTTGCTGCTCATAAGAACACTTGGAGGTCATTGAGCTTGTCCTCATTTTGCAGGTGGGAACAGCAAGGCTTAGAACGTCACAATAACTTGCTCGAAGTCCCTCCCCTAAGAGGTGACAGGGCTGGGGCTCCTGCCACATCCAGCCCCTCTAGAGCCAATAGTCTCATTTCACTCTACCTCCATCAAGCACGCAAGGCTTGGGCACCTAGTGTGTATAAACAACCACACTAAGAGCATCGTTCTTGATCCGTCAAGATGAGGCTTTGTCCCCATTGCCTAGATGAGAAAACTGAGGCCCGTTATCCACGGCCAGGTCAGGGTTATCCAGCCAGGCAGGAGGACGGAATGGGCTCTGTAAACCTGGCTGCTGCACTGGCCGCTGGAAACCTTGGAGCTTAATTTAGGTCCCTTGTTTAATTATTCATCCTCCCCTCTCTCTTCTCCTGTTTATGACTTCCGCCTCATCGTTTTGTTCCCTGGGTTAATGCTTTTTGTTTATCTGCATCTTTGGCCCAGAATGAATGAATCATCCATTTTAGAGGGAAAAAAAAAAAAAAAAACCACCCTAAATTCTAAACTCGTGTCCCTTTGTGGGCACGAGGCCCTCTCCAAATATGTACCTTGAGGAAGCAAACACTTTCAACACCCTCAAAACACAACAGCTGGGTGTGCAGCACTATAATGTGGCATCCTGGACTCTTTCCCATAATCCTTCCCTTTTAACTTTTCTTAAATCCCATTTTGGAGCAACAACCACAAGCCAGGCAGGGACATTGTCACAATTTGTTCTTCCAGGAGCTCCTTGTTAGACCCCATTTCCTGGATGGGAAACTTAGACCCAGAGAAGCAAACTAATTTGGCAGGTGGGGAAACCGAGGCTCAGGGCCCCACAGAGCAAGCCAGCGTCTGAGCTAGGGCCCCAAGCTTGTTTTTTTTTTTCCTGACTCCACAGTACTGTTCTTGTTGGGTGCCGTCGAGTCGGCTCTGAGTCATAGCGACCCCATGGACAACAGAACAAAACACTGCCCTGTTCTGGGCCAGCCTCACCATCCTTGCTATACCTGAGCCCCTTGTTGCAGCCACCATGTCAATCCATCTCATTGAGGGCCTTCCCCTTTTCCACTGACCCTCCACTTTACCAAAGGGAGCTCTGCTAGCGT